GGGGGGAGGGGAGGGAGGGGAGCCCTGGAGAGGCACGAAGACCCGGTGGAGCCGCGCGCTGCACGGAGCTGGGAGGAGGGGCGCCTTCAGCAGGTGACTCGTCTCAGCGAGCCCGTCCGGTGTCCCACGGGAACCACCGTGCTGCTCCCCGGCACTGGGTGTTTTCGAGCCCCCACCGTGCTGCTGTCGCAGAGGCTGAACCGTGACGGTGGGGACTTGGCCCTTCCGGAAGGCGGCATCCCAAACTCGTGAGGCGCCCCGGCGCTGGGCCTCCCGAGGGGCAGGGAGGGCCCCCGAGGGCCGCGGGCCTGGGGCGGAGGCTCTGACCCCGAGGAGGGACGGCGGGGAGACGCTGCCGCTGGGGCATGCGGGCGACAGGCCGCGCTGGGGCGCCGCCCACGCCCCCGGGCCCCCCCAGCCAGCCCCGGCGGGGGGCACCAGCGCTGCGCTGTGCTGGTGGGCCCGGGTCGCCAGGGCCCTTGTGTGGGAGGCGGCAAGAGCCCGCGAGGCCAGCGCCCTGGGGACCCAGCCGACCCCGGGGCGGGAGGGCCCAGGGCGGTGAAGAGGAGGCACGTTTGCTCACGAACGCCCGGCCCAGCCAGGGCGACGAGACTCGGGAGCGGACTCGGCGCTGGGCCCCAGCACGCTACACGACACACGGGGAGGAGGGGTGGCACCCACCGAGAGGGACCTGCGGGGCTCGTCAGAGCGCTTAGCGTGGGGTGACAGGGTGACTTCGAGAACCAGAGACTCGGGCAGGGCTCCCGCCCACTTAGGAGCCTTATGCTTCCCCATCATCCAACGGGGACAGAAGGGGACACAGAGGGGAGAAGGTGCCCCCGAGCCCCCACCCGCAGGAGCACCTCGGGGCGGGGCTGCCCCTAAGGCACCTGCCCCCTGTCTTCCAGGGTGTCACCGCCCCCAAATCATCCTGCACGTAAATTCTTGTCTCGGGGGCTTTATGGTTTCATGTCTTACGTGTAAGTCTTGAATCCCGATGGACTTGATGTTTGTATATGGTCTAAGGTAAGGACCCAAGTTCATTCTTTTGTGTGCGCATATCCTGCCTTCCTGACGCCGTTTATTAGAGACGCTCTCTCCCCACGTGTGTTCCCACACCCTTGTCAAAGATTAATTGACCACATAAGTGTGGGGTTTATTTCTGGGCTCTCTATTCCTGTCCAGTGATCTGCATGTCTGTTTTTAGGTCAGCACATACTGTTTTGATTATATTGCAGCTTTATAATATAATACGAAATCAGAAAATGTGATGCCTACAGATATGTTCTTCTTTCCCAAGGCTGCTTAGGCTATTCAGTCTTTTGTGGATTTGGTATGAAGTCTAGAATTTTTTTTTCTTTTTTCTGTGAACACGTGGTTAGAATTTCGATAGGGATTGCACCGAATCTATAGACCAGTTTCCGTAGAATGGACATTTTCACAATATTAATTCATCTGACCCATGAACCCAAAAGTTTTTGCATCACAAAGTCAACAGTGAACACCATGAAAAGACAACTTATGGAATGAGTGAAACTATTGCAGACTATGCAACAAAGGGCTAATATTCAAAGTAGATAAGGCGCTCATACAACTCAGTATCAGAAAATAGCAACAGCCTGCTTTAAAAATGGGCAGGAATCCTGAACCTTTTCCCAAAGAAGACATACAGATGGTCAACAGGTTCGTCAGAAAGTGCCGACCACCATCACTCAGCATCAGGGAGACGGACATCAAAACCACAATGAGACAGCACCTCGTACTTGTCAGGGTGGCTATAAGAAATGACGGGTGTTGGCAACGATGTGGAGAGAAGGGACCCCTGGTGCCCTGTTGGTGGGAATGTAAATTGGTGCATGGAGAGTCCTCAAAAAAACTAAAGCCAGAACCACCCCATGATCCAGCGATTGCACTTCTGGGTATGTATCCAAAGGCAATGAAATCACTGCCTCAAAGAGACACCTGCTCTCTCTCACATTCCCTGCAGCCTAACTCACAACAGCCAAGATACAGAAACAAACGAAATGTCCCTTGACAGATGAACGGATACATATGTGACATACACTCACAACGGAGTATTAGTCAGGCACGAGAAAGAAGTGAATTGTGCATTTGCAACAACACGGATAAACCTAGAGATGTTATGTTAGTATATGTGCTGCTGAAGCGAGCACAAGAGACGTTACGTTAAGTGACACCAACCAGACGTCGAAAGACGCATACAGTTGAACCTTTGACAACAACACGGGGTTTGGGGCACTGACATCCACACAGTCGAAAATCTGCATATAGCTTTTGACTTCCTAAAACCTAACTACTAAGAGCCTACTGTTGATCGGAAGCCTGACTGATAAGATAAATGGTTGGTGAATACATATTTTGGATGTCCTATGTATCATATACTGGTATTCTTAAAGTAAGCTAGAGAAAATACAATGTTATTAAGAAAATCATAAGGAAGGGGCGCCTGGGTGGTTCAGTCGGTTAAGTGTCCGACTCTTGATCTCAGCTCGGGTCACGATCTCACGGTTGTGAGATTGGGCTCCAGGTCAGGCTCCGTGCTGACACTGTGGAGCCTGTTAGGATTCTCTCTCTCTCTCTCTCTTTCCCTGTCCCTCCTCCAGTCATGCATATTCTCTCTCTCTCAATAAACTTAAAAAAAAAAAAAAAAGGAAAGTCATAAGGAGGAGAAACTTCATTTTCAGCGCTCTACTGTTTGTCCTGAAAAAACTCCACGTAGAAGTAGACTGGCGCCGTTCACACCTGTGTTGTGCACAATCTCACTTATCCATGGAACCTAAAACCGTGAAGCTCGCAGTAACAGAGCAGAACCGCGGCCGCCAAGGGCTGGGCGGTGAGGGATGGGGGGGGGGGGTGTGCTGGTCAAAGGGCATGAACTTGCAGTTGCAGGAGCGATGAGGTGCAGGTCCACGGCGGCGGGGTGGGGGCTCCAGGGAACAGTGCCCTGTGCCGCACCCTTGACATTTGTCAGAGGGCAGATCTCAAGGGCTCTCCCCATGCACGAGAAACAGGCAGCTCGGTGAGTGATGGGCTGGCTAATGAGCTCGACTGCGGTGATCTTCTCAAAATCTGTGGTTCTATCAAAACACCTTGTGCACCTTAAATATGTGCAATGGGTATGTGTCAATTGTACCTTGAAACGGCTGGGAAAATGACGGGCTTGGGGGTTGGAGGCGTTGGGGTCGGAGGTGAGGCTTGACTGCATGGGGGCAGGAGGGGGCTTGTGGGGGTAATTCACGTACTCTATGCCTTGTCTGTGGTGCTGGTTAAGTGACACCAGTTTGGTACACGATTACCAAAGTCCATCAAATGGGAGTTTATTATTTTAAGCACTTATTTATTTATTTTTACATTTTGTTAATGTTTATTTATTTTTGAGAGAGAGAGAGAGAGCAAGACTGTGTGAGGAACAGAGAGGGAGACACAGAATCCGAAGCAGCTCCAGGCTCTGAGCTGTCAGCACAGAGCCCGACACGGGGCTCGAACCCATGAACCACAAGATCATGACCTGAGCCAAAGTCGGACGCTTACCCGACTGAGCCACCCAGGCGCCCCCGAGCTGTACTTTTAAATGAAGCCCAATAAAGCCAGAAAAATAAGGTGTATAGCACAGCGTGTGGCTGCAGAGAGACGAAGAGTCGAGGGCATTAATGCGGTTCCCCTGTGGCCTCCCCCGAGCACCTGTGGCCCAGAAGAGCCCGGCTGGGAGAAGGGTCGGGAGCCGGCCACCGCGGCGCCTCTCTTTTCCTCCCCCAGGCGCCCCGATGGCCCGGGGGTGGCGGCCACGCGCACACTGTGGGCAGGGTCCAGCCGCCTGAAAGGGGCCCAGAGCTCGGGGAGCACACAGAGCCCCCTTGTTACCTGGAAAGCCATCGTGCTGAGGTCAGAAGGCTTCCAGCCTCAGCCCGTCTCCCAAATAAGTACAAACGACGTGTCGGCCTGTGCGAACCGACAGATGCAAATAAACAGACCGCCTGGGTGTCCAGACGCCCGCCCGCCGGCCTCCCGTCCACCTGCTACCAGATGGAGGCTCCCCGTCCCCGCTGGCCCCGGGCTCCCCCTGGAAGCTGGCTAAGAGTAGCCTCCGAAATGTTCTCTCGTGCTTTCTGCCATTGTGACTCTGCCCCCAGCCCCACAGGGGTCCCGGCTGTGACAGTGGGCTCCGCCCTGGCCGCGTGGGGGCCGCGTCGCCTGGCCTGCCCCGCAGGAAGGCACCGGATGTCTTCCCGTGGCCTCGACGAGAGTCCAGGCCCAGCCTTAGTCTATCTCCTGGCTTTTCTTGCCCCAAACACCCTCTCCCCTTGGACGGCATCACCCCTTCAAACAAAGGTGACTCTTCCAGGCGTTCAGGACGTCGGCACGCAGACCCCTCCGGACCCACCAGCTGTGTCAAGAGACGAAACAGCTGTTATTATTTGAGACACTCTGGGTGCCTTTCTCAGAGCGCACCCTGCCCCCGAATCTGGTGTTCATCAATCCCAGACGTGTCTTTACCGTCCACGACCTGTGCCCAGATGCCCCGCGCGTGGCCCATCCGAATGGGGATAAGCTGCCAACGTAAAACACACAGCAGGTTCCAAAGATGCAACGAGAGGGACAATGTGAAGTGTCAGTCGCCTTCTGTATTGATTACACATCGAGATGAAAACGTGTTAAATAAATTGGGCTCAATAAAATATTTATTATGATTAATTTCTCCTGTTTCTTTTTCCTTTTTATTGATTAAAAATTTTTTCAATGTTTACTTATTTTTCTGAGAGAGAGAGAGAGAGAGAGAGAGAGAGAGAATCAGGAGCAGGCTCCAGGCTCTGAGCTAGCTGTCAGCACAGAGCCCGACACGGGGCTCGAACCCACGAACCGCGAGATCATGACCTAAGCGAAAGTCGGACGTTCAACCATCTGAGCCACCCAGGCGCCCCTCTTTTTCCTTTTTTTAAGTGGCTACTCAAAAACTTACAATGTGCACATTTTGCACCGTGGCTCACATTTTACTTTTGGTGCTGTTCCGGGTTGGTTGCCTTGTCATGTGCCCCTCACACGGCTCGCTGTCCTTTCTTCATCTGATTATGAGCCTCTTGAGAGACGGCCCGTGTCTCGGGCACCTCTCTTGCCTCCAGGCCAGAGGGGCTTTGCAGATGATGGCAATTTAGGCAAAGTGGTCCCTCTACAAGCAGAGTTGATGTTGTCATCACCGATCCGCCTCAGCTCTGTCTTCCCTTCACATCTTTCAATATCTTCCTGTCGGCTTTGGGACAAAGCAAAACTCTTCAATGTGCTGCAAGGCCTTGTGAGGTCCTGCCACTGCCTACCTTTCCCTGGCCTTCTTTTCTGCTTGCACCTGCCACAGGCCCTTTGCACATGCCATTCTCCCTCTCGGCCCTTTGTTTCCTTCCTCGCCTGCAAACTGTATTCATCCTTCAGATCTGAACCCAAATCCAGGCTGAGGACCCCCGGGAGTTCCCCCACACTCAGAGCACGACAGACCCCACAAAGCATCTACTTTGTACGCCCCCTGGGAATCTCTGACCCCACTCACCATCCAGGTACCACCCGCCGACACGCTCCGCCCACGAGCTGGAGAAAGACACGTGAGCCTGGGGATTCTATACCTGGTGTCCGCTGTCCCCGAAATGGAATTCCGGTCCAAGAATAACATTGGTAATAAGATGCCTCATGTCAATTTTATGGGCTGCAAATACCTTCTAGTTAGACCCCGAGGCCAGTTACAGGCCTGAGCAGAGACCCCGAGAAGCTGCCAAAATGGTTGTCAGTAACTCTTCTAAAAACGTCTTTGTCCTTGACGCTGGGGCTGGCCACTCCCGGCCGGGGCAGGAGAAGCCGCCTGTCGCTTCGAGCTGGGACATGACCGCGGCTTCGAGGCCCCTGTCAGGGCAGAGCAAGCTCGCTCCAGGCAGCCAAATAATTGTCCTTGTCCCGGCGCTGGGACATCTGAGCCGCAGTAGGAAAATGAGCTTCCTTCCCGCCTCTCAGGCTGGCCAGCCCCGGGGGGAATCGAGGCCACGCTGCGCCCGGAGACAAAGAACCGCTTCCCCCGAGCCCCAGACGGAAAATCAGGTGCGCTGCCTCCTATCCGTGACTGAGATGGGGCAGAGCGGACCTCGCCCCAGCCAAGCCACCGGGCAGCACCGGGCACCCACACGCTGCTTCTCTCCCACTCGCCCACCAAGAAACAGCGTTTCCCTGCAGCAGAGCGTTTCCGGGAAAGTCTGTGCATCTGGCACGGGCAGCTCACTACCTTCTCATGAAGCAAACACAGCACGGAGCCAGCACCCTGATGAAGGACCAGCACCTTCCCGGGGCCCCAGACGCCCCGCGTGGACCCCGCCCCAGTTCCTAGCACACCCTGTAACCCAGACTCCTGACCCTGCAGGGAGAGCTGGTGGCTAAACTCGGCCTCCGCGGAACCACACCGTGTGCGCCCTTCTCTGTCCCGCTCAACACCGAGCCCGTGACCCGGGCCTCGTGCGCGGCCACCGTGGGCTGACGTCCCTTCTCCGACCCATGGCGCCGCGGCGAGAGGCCACACGTATCCTGTTCACCTGCTGATGGACCTCTGAACGATTCCCAAGCCTCTGGCTGTTTCAAAGAGTCTTGCTATGAACATTCTAGAACGCGATTCTTGGTGAACACCTGGGCGCATTTCTGGAATGGCTGGGCCACCCGGTAGGTGTGTGTTGAACATTTTAAGAAAGTGCCAGAATGTTCTCCAGAGCGGCAGCAGCACGTGACACGTCCATGCAGGGGATGAGGCGTCCATTCCAGTCCAGCGGGCACGCGGGAGGGTCTGAATATGAAATTTGCATAATAAAACCGTCGGGGGAGTGGGGGAGGGCGAGACTACTTCCTGTGGGGCGGGGGGGGGGGGGGGGGGTGCTTAGACAGGCGCAGACGGAAGTTTGTCCGTGTGTTTGAAGCTAGTTCTCTTTCACTTCTCGAGCAGGCAATGCACTCCCAGAGTTCGGGCCTCGCTCGCATGTAAAGGGGCAGATGCCCAAGACGCATCTCCGGTGGACACGCCGGAGGCCCAGCTCTCCGCTCTGGCCCGTCCCGGCCCCCCCCCAGCCGAGGCAGCTGCTGCCTCCCTGGGGGGCGCACTCCGGGGGGGGGGGGCCGGGCGAGCCCCTGGCCACATGCCCATCCCGGGGTGGGGGGGCAAGGGAGCCGTCCCAGGCCAGGGGACGACAGGCTCCTTCTCAGCTCATAAGCTCCCTCCCTGGCATTTACAGCCAGTGTTTGATCTTTCAAAGGAGGGCTCTCGACTGCGCCCCGAGCTCCCCGAGTCGCAGGGCTATTCATGGCCTGGGCCGCAGACCGTTCCTCGGCCCGCTTTATTTAGTGATTTATTTATGCAGACATATATCTTCTACCGGCCGGGTCGGGGGCCAGAGTGACAGAAGTGGAACAGGGACGAGCTCACGGACAGCAGGCGTCCTGGCGGCTGCAGGCTCTTGGGGAGCGAGCCCACGGGAGGCCCTTCCTTGGCCGGCTGGTTTCGGGGGGCCCTCTGGCTGGCTGGCAGGGACGGGGGGCTGGGGTTGGAGCACCGTGGGCGCTGGAAGAGCTCGCCGTGCCTACGCGGGGAGGAGGGAGGCCGGCTGTGGGGCTAACGGCCTGGACTTCGGGGCTGAAGGGCGTGGGTTCAGAGCCCCTCCCCACTCCCTTTCTGCCTCAGTTTCCACATCTGCCAAACGGGACGGGCACAGCCGTAAATGGAACGGGCAAGATCTGGAAGCCAGCAAGGGCACGGTGAGGGTGAGCGGCTGTTGCTACCGGCACGCAGGACCCGGCTCGGGAAGTCACAGCCGACCCAGCCTGGCTGCCAGAGACCGGAGACGCTGGGCCTCAGGGCTAAGCCCGGGAAAGGCCCAGCTAACTGGGACAAGTGAGTCACCGTCCAGAGCCTTATCGTTGGATGAAACCCGTCTCGTTGCAGCAGCAGAAAGTGCCAACGAGGAAATAAACATCGATTAGGCATTTATTTGTTCAAGAAGTATTTACTAACTTCTGTTCTGTGCCAGGCACTGTTCAAGTTTCTGGGAACACAGGGAAGAATGAGACAATGTCTCTGGTGCCCTCATGGAGCCGACATTCCGGTGGACAAGAGAGAGAACGAGCAAGCAGACAAATAAGTATTATATCACCAGGTAGTGGTGGCTGCGGGCAGGCGGCAGATGGTGAAGGAAGACAGCGTGATGGGCTCCAACTAAAGTGAGGAGGCTGAAAAAAGACCCTTTAAGGAGAAGACATTTGAGTAGAAAAAAAAAAAAGTAAAAAAAAAAAAAAAAAGTCGAACGCAAGCCCTGAGACTCTCTGAGGAATGAGGGTTCTGGGCAAAGGCACAGCAAGTGCAAAGGCCCCGAGGTGAGAATAGGCTACATCAAATGCTTTAAGAAGGCAATAGTCTGGGGCACCTGGGTGGCTCAGTCGGCTAAGCATCCAACTTCAGTTCAGATCATGATCTCATGGCTTGTGGGTTCAAGCCCCATGTCAGGCTCAGAGCCTGGAGCCTGCTCCCAGTTCTGTGTCTCCCTCTGTCTCTGCCCCTCTTCCCTTTGCACTCTCTCTCTCCCAAAAATAAATGAACATTTAAAAATAATAAACACAAAGAAAAGCTAAAAGTCTTGATTCAGAGTAGTAGCTTGAACACACGCATGTACTCACCTCTTCCTGAATCCCCACTAAAGTGAGAATAAAGGGTAAAAAGGCACACATTTTGAAGAGCACAGAGAACAGGAGAGGAGGTGGGAGCAGATGGGTGGAAAGCAGATGAATGAGCCGAAACGAGCTGAGAAGACCAGAGAAGGCCAGACCTGCGGGGGGGGGGGGGGGGGGGGGGGGGGGGCACAAGACTCAGGAGCGAGAGGCACCGGGCACCTCTGAGGACAGGGTGTGCAGTGCATGTGAAAACAGGGAGACTGGCGTAGAGCCCCCCGTCTCCGTCCGCCTCACACAGCGGGCGATTGCTCTGCCTCTGCCCTGGCAGGTTAGGAGTGAGAGTGAGGAGGGGGCGCCTGGGGGGCTCAGTCCTGTGAGCGTCCGACTTCCACTCAGGTCATGATCTCACGGTTCGTGGGTTCGAGCCCCGCGTCGGGCTCTGTGCTGACAGCTCGGAGCCTGGAGCTGCTTGGATCCTGTGTCTCCCTCTCTCTCTCTGCCCCTCCACAACCCCCTCTCTCAAAAATAAATATTTTAAAAAAAGAGAGTGTCAACCAACCTAAATCATCACCATCTGGAAGGCAGGCATTGCGGATGCAAAACTTGAGCGACCCCAGTCACATCTCCGGGAAGCTACAGGTGGGCTGGAAAGCGCCCCTGAGACGGACAGTGTGGCTTCGGAGAAGGACATCGGGAGAAGGGCTGCGGCAGGGCGACCGGGGCCTCCATGCGGATGCTGGGTGACGCCAGTCAAGTCACTCAACCTCTCTGGACTTCCCTTTCCTCGGGCATCAAAGGGGGAATCCGAGAAACAAAGTCGTCGCTCCCCACCGCCAGGAGGCCTGGTTTTCAGGGGCCCCGCAGAGGATGTGACGGGCAGGAGGGCCTGTCGTTCCCAGGGAGCGTGTCTCCGGGGGGGTCACTGCAGATTCGCGCCCGGCCGCGTCTCAGGTCGGTAAGATGGGTGACTTCCCGCCTGCGTTTGCAGCCGCGCCTCCTCCACTCGCTCACACCCACCGCGTGGCTCCTGTCGCTCCGTGGCCTCTCCCAGCTCTCCCTGGGGGGAGGGCTGCGCTGGCCAGGTCGGCGTGACCCCGCGATCCAAGGACAGGAGGGGCCCCGCCCACTGGCAGTTCCCGGGCGGGGTCCCCGCCTGCACCAGAGACCCTTTGCCTCCTAAGAGCGGTGATTGGACAGAAATGCTAAGTCGATGTCGCTGGCCAAGCCACTGGCTGGCTGTCAACCGATGGGGATGCTTGGCGTGAAGATTCTGTCCAACCGGGACAAGGGGGACCAGCGAGACTTCCCTTCTGGAGGATTTGAATCGGGCGTGTGGAAGGGACCAGGAACAGAAAGGCTGGAGGCTCAGAGGAGACATGAGCAGGAGGGGCACCAGGAGCGACGACCGACCCAGAACAAGCCTGTGACCAGGACGATCCGAACAGAAGCCAGGGCGTCTGAAGGACGGAGGAGGCACAGGCGGCGCAGAGAGAAGCTGAAACCGGGAGAGGAAAGGGGGTCTTGCCCTCGGGGCCTCCTCAGGTCCTATGGGTGGGGTCTTTGTGCCTTTTGGAAATTAGGTCCTTCCAGTTCCCATCCCCAGGAGGACCCAGACTCCCTGGTTGCTGTATGGCCACGTAGGGTGTGCAGTGTATGTCTTGGGGAGGGGAGTGCCCTATGTAAGTGACAGCACCTCCTGCAGTTGTGCAGTGCACAACACCTACAACTGTACATGACAGCCCTGACCAGCGCTCATATTCTTGTCATTTGGTGACAGCCAAATACGTATTGTATATTAATTTATTCACTCATTCAGTACATAGTTTTTAGGCATGCTCTACCTCCCTGGCACTGTTTAAGGCACTGGGGATTCAGGAGTGAGAGACACGATTCCCGGTCTCACGATGAGGGTAGAGAGAAAACAAACAAGTGAAAAAGATAATTGCCTAACAAGACAGAGAGTGACTCAAAGGTGTGAGGGGCCGTATCTATTAGGTGGTCAGGGGAGGCATCTCTAAGGAACGGACATTTGGGCATAGATTTAAAGAACGAGTAGGGGTCTATTCTCAAAGGACTGGAGAAACGGTGTTCTGTGCAAAGGCCCTGAGGTTGGAATTGACCCAGAGCTAGATCAGGTAGGGCCTTGCAGGGTTTATTCTAATTGTGATGAAAAGCATTTGGAAGGAAGGCATCAAGCATTTACTGTGACTTTGAAACACTCCCATTAGCTGAGCAAGCAAGCGCTGGCCTCTTTTCCTTGCAACCACAATAGTGGGGAAAGTAGGGTTTGCTGGGGTGTTATTACTCCTCGACTCTTCAAAACGGGTTCATCTTTAGGTCAAACGAGGTTTCAAGGAGTCTTCACATATGAGCCATGTCAGATTAGCTCCGTGAAGAGCTACTTTTACCGCATTGACTTTCATCCAAGATTATTTCGAGAAGCCATCACGGGAATTCTATATTTGCTCTAAAATATTTCTGTCAAGAGCACTGTAACTCAATATCCCTCTATAAAGCCCAACACGAGAAACTGATTTTAGTGCTGGGTATCAGAAATAAACTAAAGAATTGCTTTCTATAGTGAGAGCAAAGAGATTTCCTGTGTTTCCCTTTTTGACCTGGCTACCAGGAAGCTCAGGACTGAAGCACACGTTTCATCACAGAAACTGTTCATCCCTGTAGCTGGCATAGTTACACCCTCTCTCACTGGACCTAACTTGCTGTTTCTGTTATACTAACCTTTTTTAATCTTATTTTTTAATGGGTTTTGTTGGCGTAAGCTCTCGCATTCTTTTTTGGAGAAAGGGAGGGAGGGGCGTAAATAAAAGCTTTATTCATCTGATGTGTGAGTATAGGTGAAGCCTGGCTGACCCGGCTCCCCTAGCTCAGGACTTGTAAATTCAAACATACCTAAAGAAAAACAAACACAAATTTCATTTCTTAGAATTAGCTTTGGGGTTGGAAACGAAAACAAATATATCTCCTGGAATAGCTCGTTCCTCTCCCCGGCCCTGACAGAGCTGCTGTTTGTGGGCCGGGACAAGCCCGCTTGATCCCTGACGCCGCCTCCCTGGGTGGTGTCTGTGACTGAGCAGAGTGATGTGACCCTTCTAGAAGAGAACGGTGGGCCCAGCGGAGCAGAACGAAACCGTTTTCAATTAAAAAGCAGCTCCCGCACAGGCTGACGGCTCAGCCGGGCTGCCTCTGACAGTCTGGTTCCCCGTCATTTTTCTTTGCAAGGACAATTACGTTCCTTCAAGTGGCAGCATAATTAACCGGGCCTGCAAACGGCTCCCGCGCTGGTGTCGTTTTGCTGGGATGTTTCCCGGAGCTGGGGCCGGGCGAGACCCGTCGCGGTGCCTGTCAATTAGCCCTTGCAAGGAGAGGCCGCGTGGGGAGGGGGTGAGGCTGTGGGTGGCGTCTCCCCTGGTGGACCGGGGACTCGGACCCCACCAGGCTGCCCCTATCTTGCCGCATCTCGACCCTCACTCCTGGTGAAGGAATTCGCACCTGCGATTCTATTTCGACTCCTGGGGTTGCTATCTTTTATGCTAAGAATGCCGTCCGCACCCTCCACACACACGCGCCGGTAAGTGGGCAAGATTGAGGAACAGTCCAGAATGTCAGCCAGTGGTGCGAATGAGTTAAAACAGACCAGCCTCTGGCAGAGCGTGCTCTCCGGCCCCGCAGCACCCTCCGGGCCGAGCGGCGGGCCGAAATGCAGCTTCTCCGGCCCAGCCCCAGACCTGCTGGATCAGAAATTCAGGAGTGGCCCGGAAAGCCACGGTTCACAGGCCCTCCAGGGGGCTTCTGCCGCACGCTCGAGTTGGAGAAGCCCGGACGGAGCAGAGCATAGTCGGTTTGTTAATTTTCGAAGGCTTGAGACCCGCTCATCTGATCCAGGCACAGAGCCCGACACGGGGGTTGGGAAACCGCAGAAAGAGCTGACCCTCCGTTCCGGTCAGCCTGCTCTGTCCCGTGGGCTGTCTCTGTGTTAGCTGAGAGAGGGAAAGGCAGGGGAGAGGGGAGAAGGGTCTGAAGGGTGGGAAAGTGAAAAGGAGGGAGCTGTGGGAATATGCGGCCGTGTTTTAACACCTGCACGGATGATACACAGGAGGCGAGAATTCCAGAAGAGCGTGGCTGGTCTCAGCGAGCAGTATGGAGGAGGGAACAGGGAAGGAAAGTGGGGAGAGACCACGTGTGACCGAGCAGGGGTTCTCATCTGGGGTCACGGTGTCCCCCCAGGGGACACCTGACGACTCTGGCCTCCTTTCTGTTCTGATGTGTGTCTTCTGAAGGTCACCCCAGTGGCCGGAGAGATGATGTGAGGATTGTGGGCACAAGAGAGAAGGGGGGCACCTACTGGGAGGCTGTCGCTGCTGCCCCGGTGGGCACAGGCCGTGGCCTTCTGGAGAGCGTGAGAAGCAGATGCCTCTATTTTTTGGTGTCTCCTGGGAAGAGAAGAATAACTTACAAGTTCATGTCCAAATCCCACCATGGGCTTGATGCCGGGTGTCGAAATCTTGGCACTTGCCGGTTCATCCAAAGCTGCTTTTTTGTGAAAAATCATAGCTTTGCCTGTGTGGGCAGAGGTTGGATGAAAAGTTTGATTTCCTGGTTGGGTTTTCCCAGTGGGTTAGAAGCCCCGGCCCTCGCCTACTTGCAACTATGGCGGCACAGTAGCGGGAGGGATGGAGAAGGGAGAAAGAAGGGGGAGGGGATTTTTGAGGTTTCCTGATGCACTGGATGTGAGGGGGGAGGGGAGAGCCCCAGAGGACTCCTGAGAGCCGCAGGGCTGGGCATGAGCCGGGGGCTGGGCATGAACCTGGAGGGCAGGCCACACCCCAGGGACTGATGTCTGGGCCAACAGCTGAGAGGCTCAGGAAGAAGAAAACCTTGTAGCTGACCCTCTTGAATGGAGTCACTAGGGCACTCGGGTCCTGAAAGTCCATTCATTCCCTGGAGACTAGGAAACTCCGCCATCTCCAGCGGAGCCCGACACTCATCCCCAAGGTTACGGACGGACTCCCTGGGAGAGCCGGGTCCCCTTCACAAGCCAGGGAGGGCGCCAAGACCTCCCCAGCACCGAATTTCACCAGCATCCGACGCCAACGGGAGAGCCAGCATGGCTGTCTGGCCCCTGCAGAGACCATGGATGAAATCCAAGCATCATCCGTCATCTGTAATATCTGGAGATTAGGAAGCCGGTGAGGGCTGCGTGTGATTTTCACATTCATTCTGCGGCACGACGGGCCCCCCTCGCCCCCCTCCCCGGAGCCTACAATGGCGCCAGGAGGGCTTTCGTGAAAAGACGCGAGCAAGCGAAATTTTCCACTGCTTTCATTGCCCTAAAGCCGTACGAACAGGCTCTGGCCCACATTTGAACTTTCCAGAATAAGGCAATTATTGTTTTTTCCCTTTTGTTTTTCTTGGTTCCCTGCTGCTCGGTCTCTGGGCTGGGCTGTTTTGGAATTTTTGTAGAAGGATTTCTAAGCACGTTTGTCCATGCTGATCTGTGAGGACGGTGGACGTGCGTAGGGGAGGAAGTTCCATGCCAGGTAGAACCAAACTGCAGACGTCTCCCACGGC